GGAACGGACTAGGACTTCCGTGCCTGTCTTGGCTCCTTCGCTCAGAGGCACCGCAGTGGCTAGACTTCTTAGATCCTCCAAAAGTTAGAGGGAACCAGTGAGGCCTCCCCACCGCTTCCCTTCAGGGACCTCCACTCTACGGCTCCTACTCCTCCTGCTGGCACATGCTGCCCCGGCTCTGGGTGAGAAGCTCCTGGAACACAAGTCTGGGTGTTCCAGTGATGGCACTAGTGACATGATGGCCTAACACATTTTCCACCAGCTGAGCAAATGCCAATCTCCTTTCTGGAGGTACTTCCAGTACCTACAAGTGATTCTTTCTTTCTTTCTTTTTTTGGGGTTGGGTGTACTAGGGATTGAACTCAGGGGCACTCAAGCACTGAGCCACATCCCCAGCCCTATTTTGTATTTTATTTAGAAACTGTTGCTGAGGCTGGCTTTGAACTCGTGATCCTCCTGCTTCAGCATCCTGAGCTGCTGGGGTTACTGGTGTGCACCACTGTACCCAGCTCAAATAATTCTTTCTGGGCTTATCACTGATTTACCTCCAGTCGTGGGGACACTCCCTCCCTCTCAGAGATGAGAGGGAACCCATTGTCACTCCATAAAACTGACCACTCCTGGTTCCCCTTTTCTTGTACCATATTAGGAGGAGGGTTGGGGTGCTGGGCAGTGGTGGCAGGATCAGGTGTACTTCCTCTCAGAGACCCGGAAATAGGTCTCTGCCCTTTGTTGGTGGCTCTGTTTAGAATTTTGGTGCTTTGTTCCCTTATGTCCTCAGCTTTGAGCATGTGGCCATCAGAAAGACCCCTCAATGTCCTGCCACATTCTGCCTAGTGTCATGTTGAGAAGTTTGACCTTAACGGGGAATGGGGACAGAGGACCTGCTAATAAGACCCCAAAGGCCAGACTGAGCTAGGAAGCACTTCCTCCAGAGGCAGTGGTGGGACTGTCCTCAGACTGGGCAACTGACCTCTGCCCCATGTCACAGAGGGTCCCACTTTGGCTTCCTCTGGCTTCCCTATGGGATAAGGATTCTGCAAAGCCAGGAGTTATGCCCATTAGGGGCCTGCACCTATCTTAGCCCACCCCCAGGGGTCCAGGACTCCAGAGTTCCTGTCAAGTGACGCTTCTAGTGCTTGCCTGGGCCCTGCTCAAGTCAGTCCTTCTGAAGGAAGGCATTATTCAGAACTCCAGGTCCAAGAAGTGTCAATGGGCTGTTTGCAGAGTGTGAACAGGATGGGGTGGCCACACGTGTGTGTCAGAGCCAGGTCAGGCCATGAGACAAAGGCTTCCATTTTGCCTCTTGCCTCTGCAGTTACTTGGGTTGGGCCTGGAGTAGAGTCCTTTACAGTACTGGGCTTCCCACCTTGGAATCACCTGGTGAGCGGTAAAAACTGCCAGAGCCTAGATTCTACCCACCCCCATTCTGAGCTGATTGGGTGAAGCTAGCAGTGAGTTAATAGGTGGCTCCCACCCACTCTCATGGGTGGCCAAGGTCAAGAGGTACTGATATGGAAATGGTCAGGTCAGAGAGGACACAGGAAGAGAAGAGGCTCTGCTCTAGGAAGTGCCCACCACAGGGAGGAGGCTTCTGCCTTCCCCCATGTCTACTTGGGTGGATGGAGATGATCATAGTGGAAGAGGGAATGCAGGTCCCTATTTGGAGGAGTAACTAAACTGCATCTGTGAGTGTGGAGTTTGGGGTGCTTTGAGACATCCATAGGATGATGTCTAATAGACAGTTGGATGCCCAGCCTGGACTTCAGTTCAGAGGCCAGTGCCTGAGGCAGCATATAGATGGTGGCTAAAGCCATGAACTTGACTACCAGCCCAAAGTGCATAGGCTAAGAAGGGAACTCCAGTACTTCAATTGTACCCCCAAATTCCATCCTCCATCAGCCAATTCATTCCTCTATTCTAGGTCAGAGTAAACTTTAGCAATGAAGGGGTGTTTACAATTTGGGGACAAGGGTCCCTACTCATTTCACCTAGAGCAGACTGGTGGTGGGAAGACCTTAATGACAATCTGCTCTTCTTTCCCCTCTCTTTCCTCACCCCCGTGCCCCTGCCCTGGTCCACACACTTCCTCTCCTTTTCTCCTCCCACTTTCCCTACTCTGCTTTGCCTGTCCCCCCTCCCCACCCTCCACCCCAAGGTGAAGGTCTGGTTCCAGAACCGCCGCACCAAGCAGAAGAAAGACCAGAGCAGAGACCTGGAGAAGCAGGCTTCCTCCTCGGCTTCCGAGGCCTTCGCCACCTCCAACATTCTACGGCTGCTGGAGCAGGGCCGGCTGCTCTCGGTGCCCAGGGCCCCCAGCCTCCTGGCACTGACCCCTGGCCTGCCTGGCCTGCCTGCTGGCCATAGGGGCACCTCTTTGGGTGACCCCAGGAACTCCTCCCCACGTGTCAACCCGCTGCCCTCGGCCTCAACATCTCCCCCGCTGCCGCCCCCTCTGCCAGCCGTCTGCTTTTCCATGGCCCCCCTCCTGGACCTGCCTGCCGGCTATGAACTTGGCTCCTCAGCCTTTGAGCCCTACAGCCGGCTAGAACGGAAAGTAGCCAGCCCTGGAGGCGGAGGCAGCAAGAACGCTAACACTTAAACTCCCACTCCTGTGTGACACTGAGTCCCCAAGCACAGCACCGCCCCAGCCTCCTGAGCCCCAGTGGACTGCACTGAGCAGGCCCAGAAGAGAGGGGTGGCTGCTGCAGCCCCTCCTCACCTGCCCCAGCTCAGAGACTCGACCAAATGGCCTTGGTCCCCGCAGCTCGTGTGTGTGAGTGCAGTGTGCGTGTGCGTGTCTCTCACTGAAATAAAGGAAAACGATGACAAGAAGGGAAACAGGCCCCGCAGCAACACCTCATTCCATTTTGTCCCTGTCCTCTGTGATGGAAAATGGGCTCAGAGTGAGGGGGGACTTAGAGGGAAGACTCTAGAATCTGAGGATGCAGGTGGGTCACAGTATCCACTGTGTGAGTCAATAGGTCCCTGACTCCCACTCCCAACTGAGCTCCCACCCAAGAACCCCAAAGTCTCCAGGTGCCAACATCAAAGCTTTCGTTGGTTAAGTGTTATTCTTTGCAAGCTCCTCTTTGAAAATTAAAAATAGTTGCGAGGGTGGTTCACACCTTTCAGGAGGATTGCACATTGGAGGCCAGCCTCAGCAACTCAGCAAGGCCCTGAGCTACTTAGTGAGACCCTGTCTCAAAATAAAAATAAATAGGGCTGGGGTTGTGGCTCAGTGGGAGAGCAACCCTGGTTTCAATACCTGGACCAAAAATAAAAATACATGAGAGGGGAAAATTGGGCAAACAATGCAAGGTAAGACCAGATCTGGAGAGGAGGAGAGATGGCATCAAAGCTGAATCCAGGCAGGACCCCAGAGTTTAGAAGGGGCCTGCCTAGGGCAAACATGCAACATGAGGCACTTAAAATTTTTTTCTTATTTTCTTTTTTCTCAAGGCACTTTCATTTAACTTTAATTTTGTGATAACTAGACTTATACAAAGTTGCAAAAATAGGACAACAGAGTTCCTACCACCCAATTTCCTGCAATGGTTGCATCTTCCATAACAAGTTAAATATCAAATCAGGAAACTGACATTGGTACCATGTGTGCAGTTCCCTGTCTTTTTATCACCTGAATAGATTCGTGGACACCATGCCATGAGGATGCTCCATCACCATAAAGATTACCCTCATGTTGCCCCTTTATGGTCACATAATCCCTCACCCCAATAGGAGAGCTCGTTGACAGAATGGGAGTGGGACCCAAGACCTGAATGGGTCCTCACCTGGAAGATGCAGGGTGAAATTTGGGCCCTGTGGGCAGAAAAGTCAAGCACAGCCTGCTCCAGTCTGCTTTGGGGGACACAGTAGCTGCCACTGTGGTTTCAAATTGGCTGCACTGACAAAGTCCCCCAGAGTGGGGTCTTGGGAGCCAGGGATACCCAACAACTGCACTTCTGCCTTTCCCTCTGTTCAGGTGGTATAGTTTAGGGAGGTGTTTGGAAATGTAGGAAGTCCTGAGTCTGGAATGAGGCATGGAGGTGACCTGGCAGAACTTGGGTTGGCCAGTCTAGCCAATACCCAGCATCTATTCTGCTTGTTTGGTACGGTGAGACACTCTACAGGCCCTGGGGTAGCACAACTGCTTTAGCCTCTCGGCACAGAGAGGACTCCTGGGAAGCAGTGGTGAGGTTCCAGGTAGAACACAGGCCAGGCTATGGGGATGCTTGATTTTTAACTCCAAATGTTGAGATAAGCAACACATAGGCCTCCATGTGTATTCTGTCCCAGGATGAGCATGACAAGGCAGGCCTGAGGTATGGGAGCTGGAGGTGAACGCAAGAAGGTGAGTCTGGGTCCTACAGCCAGCCTGGTTTCTCAGGCAGTTCTCAATGGCCTAAGACAGAAAGGCTAAAGGAGACCCAGGTCTGGTGGAAGACACAGGCTCAGCTCTTGGGGCTCACAGCCCAGCCACGCAACCAAGAGGCCTCTCCTAAGGGAGGCCAGATGTATGGTGAATCTAGGGCCCTGGAGAAGCCAGGGAAGCCTTCCTATAGGAGATAGACTGAAGCTGGCTAGAAGAGGATCTTCTGTAGATGTTGAAAGAAGATGATGGTGGAATTGTGCCAGGGAAGAAATACCTAGGTATAGGCAGGGCAAGAGGCACAGGGTGAGGGCAGCTTGCCAGAAGCTGAGTGTGGGAAGGAGACCAGGAAGAGACGTGGTGAGGGGCATGAGGACTGTGGAGAGCACCAGAAGTTCCAGTGGGGAGCCACATTTACACTCCTTGTGGATTGTGGGCAGAGGGACAGCCAAGCACAGCTGCCCTCCCTCCTCACCATCCTCCACCTCCCAGGTCTGCCCAGCCTGTGCCCAGCCTGTGGGGAAAGCTTCAGAGCTGGAACCCCGGGCTTCCCTGTTTACAGTCAACCTGGGGGAGGAGCGGGGAGGGCGTGGGAGGAGAGGGAAGGAAGGGGCGGTGGCCGCAGGTGCAGGCTGGCAGTTCACTCCAGCTCAGTGGGGCCTGAAGTCGTAGAGCTGCCACCAGCCTACTCAGGCACTGACTCCCAGGCCACCACACACCATGGCTATGAAAGTAGACAGCAGGTCCAGCGGGCTCCCCAACAGTGACTGCGACCTGGGCACAGCCAGGGAACATATCCAGGCGGTCACCCGAAACTACGTCACCCACCCCCGCGTCAGTGAGTATGAGCCCTTAGTGGGTGAGGCTGGGGTGGGGAGCTGCTGAGACTCCAGCAGAAAAAGTCTTCTTGCCTCAGAAAAAGAAGAGGACTGATACCAGGGGATAGCAAGAGGCCCTCGGTTCAGTGGGAAACGCTCTGTGAGGGCAGCCTGCACGGAGTCATCTCTGCAGGTGGAGGAGGGATGGAGTGCCCAGCCCAGGCCGACCCAGAGGAGAGGACTGGGGGGAGGGGTTAGTTGTCATCATTGATCCTGCCTAAGACCCTAAGCCCCGAGAGAGAGAGCTCCAAATGCCCCCGAGAGAGTGCGCGCCCGTCTGTGCGCATGCGCACACTTCTATGTAAGGAGTGTGCCCCAGAACCCTCAGCAGGAGGAAGTGTATGATGAAGTATAGTGGGGCTGACATGTGTGTCAATGTATGTGAGTGTTCTCAATATAAGGTGATAGTGTCCCTGTGTCCCGAGAGTCAAGGGCTACGTGTTGTATGTGCCTTCTATGAGAGATGTGGGCCTGGAGGGGTGTGCACCCACTTTCTCTTGGAGGGGAAGAATCCTGTGAGTGCGAATGTATGCAAGTGTGCTTGTTAGGGTGCGGGTAGGTATGTCTGCATGTGCTTCGATGCAATGTGTATGTTCAAGGGGACAGCACAGGACAATGTCACGTATCTGAGTGTGGCAGTTTTTATGTGTGTACACAGGGCTAAGGGTGAGTGTCAGGTGTAGGAGCTTGTAAACCGGTGCTGGGGGGGGGGGTACCTTTGTAACTTTCACGGAGGCAGCCCTGTGTGGCTAACTTCTGTGCTGGTTCTGTAGGGGTAGGACAAGTCCAGATGTCTGGGGAGGAGAACCTGTAAAGGTCCAGAGGACCAAAGGGAAACCCCCTCACAATTTCCTTCTCCAAGGTCACCCTCCCAGGCCTGGCAGTTCTCAGACAGCACGTGCAGCTCACTGGAGTAAACCAGCCTGGCCCGCCCCTGTTAAAGCCTAGCCAGAGGTTCCTAACAGGGCGTGTGGGGTGAGTGAGAGGAAGAAAATCTGACACAGGAAACTCTTCTCCCTCCCTCCTCCTCCTCTACAGCCATCCAGTCTAATGGAGGAGGTGGGGGGAACTTGAAAGGGCAACAAGAGCTGAGCACAGAGTAAGCAGGGTGGGGGGGTTGCAGTCAGCAAAGCCCCCAAGGTGTGAGGCTCCTGCTGAGGCCTGAGACAGGTGCTGAGGGTGGAACAAATTCCAGTAAAGGAGAAATGACAGTTCAGTGAGTTCAGTCTTCTTAAGGAGGCCCCACAGGCTCTGCCCTGTAGAGGTTCCGGGGGTAGATTCTCCCTAGGCCAAAGTTGTGGTCACCAAAGCTAAGAAACACACAGTGATTCAGTTCACACTGGGTCCAGAGCTGGGAACTCCTTCCCATGAGATGACCTGCCACCCCTGCGATCACCTGTCCCACACCTGAGGGCACAGGAGAGCTGCCATGCTGGGCAGGGTGTGGGGTCTGGACCCACAAACCCTGCTTTCCCTCTGAAACTTGCCCTTGTGAGTCCTGAAGATAAATGTCACCCTGCCTGACTCCTCCTCCAGGCAGGATTGCCCAGCCAGGAGCAGCCTCAAGCCAGTTTCCTCCTAACCAGTTCTTTATTTACAATCAACATCCTGGAGGTTCTGACCCAGGATGGGACCTAGGGGTGTCAGTGCCTCCATATTTATAGGCCTCCTGCAACAGTAGCTCCCACCCAGGCAAATGTGTTTATACCCCACAGTTAAAAACCAGAGCAAGTTCAGTGCAGGGAGCCCTCCAGGCTCTGCTCTGGCCATTGACTTCACTTTGCTGCAAACTGAGCATGCTCACAGGATGCACCCAGGATCAACCCCAGACACCTTCCCCAGCCATCCAGACACCTTCCTACCCAGCAGCATCCCAGCACTCCTCAGCGTGCTTCTGCACCTGCAGTGTCTCCTGCTCCTGTCTGTTCTCCTTGGGTGACTAGGGGGTGCTCCTCCCTGCGGCATGTGGACAGGCACAGGACCAGATAGGATCTGGAGACCCCTGGCAGGTTGGAGGCAGGGTTGCTCACCCCTCTGCTTGCCTCCCCAGCCTGATCTTCTACCCTGGGACTCTAAGCACTCTCTCAGCCCTGAGACCGAGCCTAGAAAGAGGCTGGACTCAGAGGGCCAGGGAGGTGCAGCTTGAGAAGCCCTTTCCTTCCCAGAGGAGATGGACTCCTCACAACTGATTTCAGTACAGAGACTACAAGAAAGAATTGGCCAGAAAGGAGGAGCTAGGTAGAGTCTAGATGGGGAGTAAAACCAGCAGTATCCACCTTGGGAAAGAAGGGTCTCTTTGCTCCACAGCATTCGACTTGTTCCCCAAGAACCTTGGCTTCATTGGGGAGGAGGTGGCATGGAGCTTCACCTGGGCACTGGGGCAGAAGAGGCTAGGCTGGCACAGGGGGCCAGTCTAGGCAAAGTTTTGAAAGGTTAGCAGCCTGGTTGGAGGGATGGAGCCTAATCAGGCCCTCCAGGGGCTTGAGCACCAAGCCGCTGGCTTTGCCTCCCTGCCTCAGTTTCCTTGGCAGAAAGGGGAGAAAGTTACATCGAGAGTCCCAACCAACAGGTTCCTGGGCTGATTCTAAGAACCCCCAGCTTCCAGCCTCTGCCCCCCTCCCCTAATCCTTCCAGCTGGGATCAGGGAGGAGGTGCAGGACCTGCTGCCCCAGGCTTGCCCCCACCCTGGCCTCACGCATGGGTGCCCGCCTCAGCCCTCTCCGGGGACGCTGCAGGTGTGGCTGGGCCAGCGCTAATTAGTGTGCCGGTCAGGATCCCTGCTGGGCCTTTGACGGGGAAGGCGGTAGGGAGGTGGGGGTAGGGAGCCGCTCCTCCAGCCTGCAGTCCAAAGTGCAGCCCGAAGTGTCAGCTAGGACAATGGAGAGGGTGGGCAGAGCAGCTGGAGGGAGTGTCTGCACAGTCTGGAAGGCCCATTGAGGGAGTGCCCCTCAGGTCATCTGAACCGGCCCTCTGCCGGCAACTCTGCAGCCCCCTTCCCTCTCCAGGGTCAAGGGGGACATCCCAGGGTGGTGTAGTGGCCATAATCCCCGAGGGCCACAAGATACTGCCTGAACTGTGGCGAAACCAGCTGAGTTTCTGGGTCTCAGTTTGCCTTCCTCGAAATGGACATAACCAGAGTATATACAAACAAGAGGCGTATACAAACAAGAGGCCTGTCACTCAGCTACCATTCTGTCTGTCTCAGGAGAGACACAGCCCCTGTAGGGGCCAGTCTGCAGTGCTATGGGTCTTCAGAAGGAGAGACCCCGTGAGCTGCAGTAGGTGGTTTTGGGCAAGACCTTGAAGGGTGTGAACAGCCCAGTGTGGAACCGAAATGGCATGTGAATGGGTTTTCTAAGACTCCACGGAGCTGTGTCTCCATCCAGCCTCCCTAGGAATCCCACCTAGAACCAGGTGTTGTGGCTGCTGAAGCCTGGGAAGATGACCTGTAGGTGAAGCTGGTGTGCTAAGATGGGGGACTCAGAGACCTCATGCTGTCCCCATGTGACCTGGCATGATCTCCCACCCTAACTCCCAGAATAGAGTTGAGAAGTTGGCCTCCCAGAGGGTCCCTGCAGGCAGGCACTTAGCAGCAGCCCAGGCTCCTTCCAGAGACCCTCCCCTTAGGGAGGAGTGTGGATCCTCTAATCCCACATCCTCTACCACCATTGTCCCCTACCTCCCCTTCCAGGTTAACGGGGATTTCATGTGACAGAGGCTGTGAAGTAGGGGAGCCAGCTGTGAATGAAAGGAGGAAGTTGAAAGACCTGTCTCCTGAAGCCTTGGAATTGGAAATGATTCCCTGTGGCTTTCTGGCCCTGGGGACCCTGCCCTGCCCCCATGCCTCCCTTGCTCCAGGCCCACCCACCCTGTGTCTTCTTACCCCAGGTCTGCAGTTTTCTTCCCCTCCCTCAGCCCTGTGGCACGTCTAGTATTTACTCTATAAAACCCGGCAAAGCGCTGGCTTGTTCTGGACTTATAAACTTACTGGCCTGTCCCCACGCCCCTGCCCATCCCCGCCTGACCCAATTCATTTCCTCCTTCTGCTTCCACGTCCTGCCTCTGTTCCACTCTTTATGGTCCTAACAACCCTGGCAATTTAATCAAAATACCACACGAGCAAGAGTGTGTGTGGATGGCTGCATGGTGGCTTTTTTTCCCTAATGTGGAGGGAGATGCCCCCACCTAGGAACCCTACCCTCCCTCTTTGGGGGGGGTCTCTTTATGCCTACACACCCCCTTAGCACCCCCCCTTTTTTTTTTTTTGAAATCTCTTCCATCTCCATCTTCACAGGAAGTAGACTGGAGCTAAAGGTACAGTCCCTCAGGATGGGCAATAGGACCCTCCTTTGGTCCAGGGGGCTGGGAAGGTAGGGAAGGTCACATGTTGGTTCTCATGTGGGACATGTGAGGAAAAGCTAATGGAACCATAATTCATCCAACAAATATTTCACAAGTGTCTGCCGTATACCTGGTGCTTTCCTGAGAGGTGGGATACAGCAGTGAGCGCTGCAGAGGATGTTCCTGCTCTCTGGGAGTTGACACGTCCCTGAGCCCAGATGCAAGCCTCTGCAGGCCACTGCACTGCCTGTGTTCCCCCAAATCACCAAGTAAGGGATTCTTTCTCACGTCTGAGCTGCTCACCCCTGGCATATGTGCCCTTTCCCTAACTTCTGGGGCTGGGTGGATAGCTCCATTTGACCTGAGGGCTCAGCTCAAAAGGCCCATCCTGCAAAGCCCTGACCACTAGATCTGGCCGCCTGGCCATCTCACATACCCATCCTGTTCTTGCCCTTCTTAGCACCTACTGCAGTTGGTAATTGTGTTACATTCTCTCTGTCCCTTCTTTTAGATTGTAGGCTCCACAGCTGGCCTCGTACATCCAATAGGTGCCATAGAAATGCTTGGAGAGAGGGAGGGATTAGGGAAGAAGGAAGCAGATCACCTAGGGAAAGGGAAGTAGGAAGCGCCAAGCAGTGAAGTCTCCAGGAGGGAAGAGTGTGTTGGCCAAAGAATCTGAGAAGCAACCCAGAGGTGGACCAAGGGGGCGGGGAAGAGGAGCATGCATGCAGCCTCTCATGGAATGTGCTGGATCACTTTGAATGCAGGATCTAGAGGCCTAGGAGAAGCCTAGAGAGAAGTCAGCCCTGGAATCCAGAGTAGAGAGGCTTGAGAGGCAGGGAAGGGGGAAGAACCATTGGATCACTGGAGGCCATGCTTGTATGAGCAGAAGCTGGAGAAGGATTGGGGCTGAGGGTGGGAGATACCAGAGCTTGTTTGAAGGAAAGACTGTCGGGTGCCGGTGGTGGCAGGGTGGCACTAGCCCTGCACCGCAGAATTTGTTGTCTCCAGGGCCTGGTGCGGGGGAGAGACCTGCCTAGGATGGAGGGTGGGCACTCCTTCGTGGGAAGAAGTGAGGGCAGCCAGATGCAGTGGGTCTCTAGGCAGGTCTGAGGACAGGGAGCAAAAGGGTGCTGCCCTGGGCCAGCCAAAGCCTGGGCAGATAACTTTCCTTCTCGCACTCTTCTTGAGACTGGAGTTTTGCAAACAGTGCTGACATTGGAGGATCTATGTAGAGATCTGTACAAGCCTTGCCTTGCCCCATGGGTGGGTCTCCTGGTCTACACCCTGGTGAAAGGAGCTTTCAGACAAAAATAAGGGATTTGATTCAGAAGCCCAGAATGGGGAGGGAGTAGGTGATGGGCTATTGGGTTCTCTCGGGCACTAGGTGGGTTGGGGCCACCTAGTTTGCCCAGGAGCATGTCTGTAAGAGGGCTGTGTGAACCAGGGCTGACAGGAAGCACAAGGGGTTGGGGGGAGTTCAGCCCTGGCTCTGCCTCAAACCTGCTTTGCGACTCTGGGCCTTCCTTCTGGACTCCATTTTCCTCTGAGGTCTGCAGTCTGTGAGGGACCCAGCACCCCACCCATCTTGCCAAGCCAAGTTCTCCGTCTCAAGTTGAATCATTGGTGCCACACAAGAATCCCAGGGTAGGACCGAGGTACCCCTTTGCCTTGGGCAGGACTGTCCCAAAGTCCCTGGGCTAGCCCCTGGCATAACCAAAGCTTTTGCTAACCTGGCACTGGAGTTGGGAAGTATTTCCTGATGTCTAACAGAACACCACCTTCTAAGCTAAGCCCATTCCCCCTCTATGGTCCTGTGCAGCTGCTAGGTCTGGGGGCATTTCTCTTCTTCTTCCCCCTACCCCTCTGAGCACCCAGCGAGCCAGGGGAGTCCAGCAGCCTCCCTGGCAGGGCCTCCCCAGGGCCTGTGAGAGCAGGGGCTCTGTTCTGTTTCTCTCAACAAAGCTTCTCCCCCCCACCCCCCACAGTGCTCAATCAGTGTGGGGTGAACAGAAGGAAATGTGGCCTGGTGAAGGGCAGAGGAGGGCACTTCTCAACCACAGCTGGGGGCCAGAAGCCTTTGGAAAATGTTGTGAGTCAGAGAGGAGGGAGCGGGTGAGGTGGGGGTTGAGGCCAGAGGGGAAGCCCATCAGGGAGGATAAGGGTCTCCTCCCCAGGACCAGGGAAGACTCTGAGGCCTCTGCCCTCCCCCAGCCTCCTGCAGGTGTCTGAGGCAGCAGAGGCCCTGCGGGCAGGGGCATGACCCTTACAGCAATGGTGGCTGGCCCTGTCACAGCTAATGACCCTGATGGCCCAGGCTGGGGAGGAGGTGGGGGGTGTTTAGACGGAGGGAAGGCGAGGATTCTTCTCTCTCTCTCTCTCTCTCTGTGTGTGTGTGTGTGTGTGTGTGTGTGTGTGTCCTGTGTCGTGGAGGCCAAGCATGTGTTAGGGGGTGTTTGGAGGTAAGAGCCTTACCACCCTGCCTTTCCCCCAGCCTACAGGACAGTGTGCAGCGTCAATGGGCCCCTGGTAGTGCTGGACCAGGTCAAGGTAAGGTTCTTCTGCCTCTTCCCTGGCCCCACGGCCATACCTCAGGGTTCCCTTCTCCCTTACTGGATATCTTCTAAATTGCCCTTCCCCTGGATGACCTGTCATCCACGTCTGCACTCTCCTTCCCTACTTGTGTTCCCAGGCAACTAAAGTTTTTCATCCCTGCCCTGTCAGTGGAGATTGTAAAAAGCACAAATACCTCTCAGAGGCCGGGCTCCATGGGCCTTGGGAAACCTGGTTCTACCACTGATGGGCTGGCAGCCCCGCGGCCTGCTGAGCCTCATTTCTGCATCTGTAGAACAGTGGTGCCAGACTCAAAGACAGGACTCTCCCCACCTGAGACTTCCATGGGGAAGAGCAGGATTTGCCCGTCAACTCCTCCTACCATTTCTCAGGAGCTTGATGGCTTCCAAAGTCCTTTGAACAATTGCAGTGTCAGAATCAGCCTTGTGGGTTGGGAGTGAAGTGGGACCCACAGGAGGCAAATGAGATGTAAGTAAGCTCTTTTGCATCTCCTGGGAAACTAAGAACTGGCAGACACTGAGTTGCCTTGTTGGAGACTGTTGAGTGTTAAAAGAGTCCTGCAGAGATTCAAGATCACTCTGCTGTCCTCACTGTACTAGCCAGTTCTAGTTCTCCAGCCTCCCACCCATTCTGAGCTGAACAAACTAGAAACCCCGGGTGCACCCTTGACCCCTTCTGTCCTGAACAGCACCCATCCAGGCATTGGGTCATGATCTGGTCACATGTTTCCTCCCTGCCGGGCGGGGGGCAGGGGACCCAGTTCCCTCCTATTGGATATGCATTAATCCTTAACTCCAGGAGCCCAACAGAACACTTGTACCAAGGACATAGTAGTGTTAAGCATATGTTTGTTTAAAGGAAAGGTGAGTAAATTAATGAGATGAACAAATGAATGAGTGTTAGCATGACTAGATAAAGACCTGTTAAAACCAGAGCCACTTATATTAATTAAATCAGAACCACTCAAATAACGATTCTAGAGATGTATGTTGCTGTTTGATCTATTGTAGAAGGGATGCCCTGGGAGGAAGTATGACGAGGTAGTTAAGTGTATGTACACTGGGGTCAGGGCTTGGAAGAGTCAGACTTTGTAAGTTTTGGGTTTTATCATTTTAAATATTTTTATTATTTAAATTGTGCACAATACCACAATTTGGTTTTTATAACCAAACTTCTGTAATAACAATAATAATTTTAAAAAACAAAGATAATTCTGGTTTTTTGTTGATGTTGTTGTTGAAAAAAATAACATTGATTTGTTTTCCTTCCTTCCTCCCCCCCGCCCTTTCTTTCTCTAAAGTACTGGGGATTGAACTCAAGGGTGCTCTACCACTGAGCCACATCTCCAATTCTTTTTAAAAATTTTATTTTGAGACAAGGTCTCACTAAGTTGCCCAGGCTGGTCCCAAATTTGCAATTCTCTTGCCTCAGTCTTCCTAGAAGCTGGGATTACAGGTGTACACCCTTGATTTGCATTTTTTACTTTTATTTTTATTTTGATACTGAGATTAAACCCAGGGGCATTTAACCACTGAGCCACATCCCCAGCCCTTTTTAAATTTTGAAGACAGGATTTTGCTAAATTGCTGAGTCTGGCTTTGAACTTACAATCCTCCTGCCTCACCCTCCCCAGCCACTGGGATTATAAACGTGCCCTACCATACTGACTTTTGCTTTGCTTTTTTTTTTTTTTTTAATAATTGGCATATAATTCTTGTACTTATTTTTGAGGTACACTATTGTAATTCAATATATATATATATATACACAATGTACAATAATCAGATCAGCATAATTAGCACTTCCATCTCCTCAAACATTACTGTTCAATTTATTGAGAACCTTCAAACTCTTCTTCTCTAGCTTTTCTGAAATGTGCTAATTAAGACTTCTCATGTTTGATCCCAGCTTAATTCCACTCTTTTCTACCAATTCCTTATGAATCCTGGAGCCACAGCTTTAGCACCAACTTGGAAATACAGATTCTTGAGCTCTACCTCAGACTGACAGGGTCAGAGTCTTTGGGGTGGAGTCCCAAGTTTGCTCTCACAAACCCTCCAGGTTTGAGAACTATCTATCCAGGACTGTAAATTCCTGTTCCCTCATCTATTAAATAATGACAGTGAGGAGTAAATCAGAAAAATTATCCTCCCTGAGAACAGTCAGCAATAGCTCTTCCTGTTAGCAATGCTAATAAGCCTGATCAAACAGTTGTGCGATCCCCTGTCCCCCACCCCATCCCACCACACTCTCCTGCCACAGTCTTGGTCTATAGGGAACCCAGAAAAGTACAGAGACTCAGCACCTAGCAGACGTCCATTTCTCAATTCCCCCCTACTAGGAAACCAGAGCTAGATCCCCAGACGTATGGCTTTGTGATTACTGGATGCATCTGTAACTCTGACAGAGCAAACTAACTAGGTGGTGCATGTACCTGGAAAGCCTTCAGCTAATAGAGGGAGGACAAGAATCGGTAGTTTACAGTCTCCTAAGTCCTGGAGAAAGGGAAGGCATCCTATGCACTGCTCCCGCTGCCGGCCCCTCTTTCTTTTACAGCCTGACTTGGGCAAAATTCCACTATTCTGTCTCTACAGCGCCACCTACTGCCTATATCGACACACAATCAATTACTCTTGTTTTCCATTCTTTACAAATGGAAAAACAGGTTGGGGAAGAATCCGACTAGATCAGAGGCTCTTAGCCCAGGAAATAAGACACCTAAAATTGTATGTAAACAATTGAAGGTATATTGGCATGTGCCGATGTGTTTTTCTGGAGGGAGTTTCTACTATTTTCATTTGATTTCCCAGAGTTTGTTAACTAGAAAAGGCTTAGTCTCTGATTTGAAGATTGTAAAACTGACCCTCCTAGATCATGAAGCATCCACGTTCCCAGCCCTGATCTCACAAAAGCACACTCACACACACCCATATTCACACTCTCAATAGTTCGTTCACACACTCGAATACTAACACACATTCACACTCTCAAACCCACACACCAGTCACTGCAAGCATTGAGGAAGTATCTGGATATCTGACATCCACCTGCTTGGAGCTATTCTAGAGATTCACGAAGGCAGTGGTTCTCATACTTGAACATACATTAGACTCCCCTGCAGGGCTTGCTCATAGACAGGTTCTGGGCTCCACACAAAGTTCTGATGCAGTAGATCTGTATCGGGGCCCAAGAATTCGCATTTCTAACAAGTTCCCAGATGATGTTCATGCTGCTGCTCTGGAGACCACAACTTAAGAGCAACTGCTCTGGAGAATCTCCCAACTCTTCTGTTCTGGGGTTCAAATCCATCCTTCCTTGACACTTGGAGTAAACACTCACCTGATCCACCAAACTTGATCCCAGACATCTTTATCTACTTTCAAAAGATTGCAACAGCCCCGAAGCCCATTTCCAGAGAGGAGGTCCCACGTTGTCCTTGCCATTGTTGACAGGAGGGGCCTTGGAGGACAGAACTCCCTTGCAGGAATCCTAGTAGACTAGTTTCAGAACTTCCCAGTCTTCGACATGTACATAGCAGCAATAAGGGGCATGGCCCCTTGCTGATTAAGGACTCAGTTGAATCTCCAGCAAAGGGGATGGGTCGCACTGAATTATCCCCACTCCCTGAAATCCTCTTAGAAGTCAACAGTGAGAGTTGATAGGATCAGGCTTGCTCAATATGCAGCTGGGAAATAGGGTTCCTTGGTGTATAAGCTGCTGCACCCTGCAGTTCTCCCCTGCACCCTCCATTCTAACTAGTTATGAGATCCTCGCCCTCCTTAACAAACACTCCCTGCCCACCACACAGGGTTTGGTATTCTCCTCCTAAAGGTTTCCAGTGTATATTCCTCATACCAGACATGTCCTTGTCCGGCCATGATCTTTGATATTTAAAGTTCTCTTCTCTGATCTCATCCTTCAGGGACACACAATTCACAACTATCCCCTCCACTTTCCTATTCCCCACTCCCTCTCACTCTCATAAACCCGCATAAAAAACTATCAATTTTTTATTACCCCCCCCCCCCACTTTATTGGGCCTGTTGGCTGAATTTGGACCCATTCTGACCTGTCCTCTAACCAATAATTTTTCCCTGAAGTCAACAACCCACCATCACCACCAATGATGTGACAAATAAGGACGCCCGTGGCCACTTCTGGGAAATGGCCAGGCACAGGGCCTACACCCAGTGCAAGGGAAAAGAAGTCAGGGCTTGAACTTCGGAACTCATTTACCAGTCTCTTGCTGCCCTTGCTCTTGGGCTCCCTCTTGTGGCTGAGAACCCAAGACGGCTGAGTACCAGGGGCTCTTACCACAGGGATTATTCTCTTAGGGTGGGTCTTCCCTCCAGGGATCCCACTCTATGGGTTAGGGAAAGAACAACATTGCCAGGGTTCAATCACTGATACCAAAAAAGAGAAAAAATAGATAAAAATTTGTATTGTTTGCTCACAGCTTCTGAATTTCTTATTAAAGATGCCTCTCATCTGTCTTTGAATTATTCAGGAAGAAAGTTTCTTGTAAATATTTAAAATATGTTTTGTCTTTATATTTAAATTTTGTTTATGTATCTGCATTTATGATGAGGTGGTATTCTAAATAGATACCTAGTTATGTAATTTCCCTCCGTGAATAAATATACCACATTTATTCTATCATAGTCCTGGAAAACCTGAGATCTGTTTCTGGACTCTCTAGCCCATTATCTGACTCACATTAATTCACTGTTTGTCTTCAGCAGATTTATAGCAAGTGTTTTTTTTAAATAACAGGTTTTAATATCTGGTAAGGCAAATCCTCTATCTCTGATCTTTTCCATAACTATTTTTGGCTCTTCTTAAACATTTGCATAAACTTTAAGATCATTTTATCAAATTCCAAAAGAAACAATAATCCACTGGGGATGGCTTTAATTTATATGCTTTTAAAAGAATTAATATCTTTATGACAGCAAGTCATTGTTATGTTCTTCAAT